AAGTCAGCGCGCGGGCGGGACAAAATTTTTTAATTACTCGCTTGTCCTACAGAAAATTGATGTTCCTCCATTTCATCTCTCTCCCCTCCTTTTCTTTTCAGCGCGATCCGCGCATTGTCCTCTCCTTTTCCATCAGCATCCATCGATAGAAACGCTGCGTTACGTGAAATCAATGGGCCGTCCGTATGCGACGCGCGTTTCATTTTGCCGACAGTCGAAGCACGAGAAAATTTTGAAGAATGTTTCATAAAAACGCGCGTGTGTGTATACGGTGTGTGTTGTGTGTGTAGTTGTATATTTATACAGCGTCATTACATATTTATATAACAGAGATCTACTTTTACAATTTTATTTTATTTTATAGGGATTGCTAATTTTGTTGGAGAATTTATTCTACCTCTTCAGTTATCAATGTTAGATATTTTAACCCTCTGGAACTGACAGTGAATCTATTGAACCTACTCAATTATTTAAATCCACTAGCTATGAAAAATATCAAATAATTTAATTTTCTTTGTGTTACATCTGTAAAAAAATTTTGGATTCCAAGGGATTGATCACACGCTCAGATAATTCAACAAAATTTTGGATAATCCAATGTAATTTTTTAGTATACCTTTTTATTTATACTTAACTTGATTAGTCACGAAAATTTTAATTTAACGCTAAATTGTGATATTGTTTAACAGACTTATTACTGGTTTCTTTAAAAATATTTTTTTATTTTATAAAATATCTATTAAAATTTATGTTCAATTGGATATTGTTTTGTTAGTATAAAAAAATCTCAAACGTGCGAGTAATCGAACTTGTTACTATTTATATAAAATACATATTCTGTTTGCGAAATTATATTTTTGTATTCCTGCAATAAATATTTATTTATTATAAAAATGCATTATTAAAAGACCGAGATATTCTACAGTAATCTGAAGAAATAATATTTTATATACTACTCGTATAAGGTAATTTTTGCTTATCATCTCTAAATGAGCAAAGTAAATTTGGAAAGATCTCGGATAATCTCAGAAAATATCACTTAATTTTAAATATTTTAAGGTAATCTTGGGTAATTTGAGATAATATTAGGTGATCTTAAGTAATTTAAAAATAATCCTTGAAAGTATCAAGAGTAATTTTTATACATTATAACCGCTGATCACTCCCTCGAATTATTCTTATTAAAATATACTCAATATTCATTCTTTTTTTATATAAGTTATGTCGTCATTTTGGTTCCTTGAAATTAATTAATCTTTCAATTAACATAAATTAAATTTAACATAAATTAATACAAATTAGTTTTACAGATCCAACATTAATAAATGTATTACAGAGTTTGACGGCAGTTCTGAAGGTTTAACAGTCAGATCTCAAGAAAAAAAATTTCTCTTGTTTCCATTCCGCGCTTGACAGATTACACAAAGTAGATACTGCATGTCACTTTCTTCGCTTACGTCTTGCGCAATAAGTTGTTCCCCTCTGTCATTGACGAAGTTGCGAGCTGCCGGAAGTGGCAATCTCGATGTATCGCATCGACACGTATGCTTTTGAATAATTAACCACTGTCAACGACAGGATCGCGGGAAATGTCGCTCTCGAACGAATGTCTAATTAAGCTCTCCTCGGTACTCGCCGACAAACGTGGTTAACTTTGTCATGACGCGGCGCGGCAATTTTCAAAGGCCCGCTAGCTCTCGACGCGCATTTAGGGCTAAATGTAGCCGTCCGAGTCATGTTGCCATAAATGCATGGAGAAATGCGCCGGAAACCGACAACGTCTGACAGATGCATAAACTTTATAGAGAAATAAATTCAATTTCTTTGCAACTCCTATCCATCTCCGTTATAATAAGTCTCCAATAAAACTAGTCATTAATAAGAAAAGAATCGTATTATATACACATAATTTTATACATGGAAAAAATTATGCACTAATAGCGTTAATAACAATAATCTAAAATCGAAAATAATCTCGTTAATATTGATAATAGTATAATATTAAGCTTATGCATTTTTTCCTATTGAATTACTTCCGTTGTAAAAATTATTAAAAATTCTGCATTCTTTTTGTGTGGTACAATTCTAATAATTTATAAAACGCAAGCAATCCAGCAGGAAAAAATGCATTGTGTGGCTTTGATAAAACAAATCAGTCATGCTCTTATTTTAATAAAATATTATTTGTTTTATTAGTACTGTCATTAAATCAACAAGATTACTTTGAATTAAATTGCTGTTGGTTAATACTATTAATACATAATTTTTTCCGTGCATTACAATAAAAGGTGATTTGTAACGCGGCGATACTATCATTGATCGTAACTTCTTTTTATCCGATCCAAGATAGTAATTGTATAACTTTTCCTAGAGCAGAAGCGTACAAAAAGCTAACATTTTTCTCATTAATGATAATGGAAAAAATTTCCACTTTTCACGTTTCTGTTCCATTGTGAGGTTGCCATATTGAAATCTTCAGAACTAGAACTTACAAGCTTGAAACCCGGACGCTTATAATTCGGATACCTTTGAAAAATCTCCCCAGATGAAAAAAAGGATGATATTCAAAGAGCACGGACGGCACCCTACATGGAGAAAAATGTAAAGTAATAAACACTAGAATTCCAGTAAATTTTATGGAATTGGCAGATCCATGTAGGGACACACGCTCACTTATATAAAATTTACTTTACATTTCTGATACATGAGCGATCGTCGTATAATCACACCGTAAGGTACTTTTTACATTTCGTAAATTTTGAGAATTGTTCTTAGAATTGTGCTTAGTCTTGAGAATAGTATATTTACTTTATTATGAGGTATAATAAAGTCAGTTTGGATTTACTATAATTGTAATATCCTTTTTACCTTACACTTTCGTTATTTTTATTTTCAGACAAGTAAAGTTCTCTCTAAAATTTTTGAAGTGAAATCAAATTCTATAAAGAATAAAATCTCACATTTAAAAATTGATATTTGAGCCACTCTTTTTCAACAATGACTCAACTGTCACTTCTTTGTCACTTTTTAGAATTAGATTCTACCCTACAAGATTTTAGAGAGTTTGTTTGTCATAAGTTTGACAAAAATAATCAGAATATTTTCACTATTATTTTTCTAAAAATTACTCAACTATTTTTCTCCATGTATACTCCAGAAAAGTTCTTAGTTTAATATTATTCCAAGAAAAATTCCACGAACACCACCCTTCATCGAGACAGTTTTGGAGCGATTGGTACCGAAGTCATATATTCGAGAGACGAATAATTTCCCTCCGAATAGCTCGTTTATGATCGCGTATACCACGATGTTCCCGCAGGAACCAATGGCACCGATCGCGTAAATACTCCTGTTTACCACCGAGAAGACAATAAACAGGAGTATGCAAACATCACCGACGACTTATGTTTGCGCCCTCCCTCGCAAGACGCGACAACGTTCTGGAAGCTTCGTGGAATTCTCTTTCAGGGCCGGAGACCATCCGTACCGCATGGAAAACGTGATTACAACCGTAACTATACAACGCAATGGGCAGGAGGCAGGGACGGGATGGGAGAAAGGAAGGCTCCAACCGTCTCATTGTTCCCGGGAACCCGGGAATTCTTCAACGATCAAAAGCGACGCGCCGAGTCGTGGAATTTTCATCACTGAGAAGTCGCCGTGAAGCGACGAATGGGAAAGCGAGAGAATTCGATGAGATTCGACGAAACGGGGGCTCCTCGAGATGTTAACGCGTGGGAGAAAATACAACTCGACACGGTATCTCGATTGATGCGAGTGCTGACGAGAGTAGTGACGCACGACTATAATTCTACTTAACGCGGACGCGATTCGGAATCGCAAATCGCACAAACCGTACTCGCACAAGCCGTCCAAGTTTCACGACGTTTTAACGCATCTCATCTACTTTAATGGCGGAAAATTTTCGTTCAAGTTCGTGCGAAGTAAAGGTTACGGCACACAAAAGAATGTGAGGTAGTAAACGAATCGGCCAATCACATTAGAGAACGTAAGGCAACACTATTAGATATCAAAGAAGCAATAGTAATCCAATCTCTCGAGTTAAATAACATTTGATTATTTTTAACTTCTATGCACTGAAAAAAGAATCTCGTTAATCTGCGTTAATTGTAATTCTGGTTAAAAGTAGAAAAATTTCAGAATTTTCTGGCTGAATCTAGAATTCTAATTAAGATAACACTTCTTTCATTCATATGATCAGAATCTTTTCGTTCATTGTCACACAGAAATTTTTCTCAATGTGTGTCGAAATGTGAATCAATCCATTTCTGTGATTATTTTCAATGTAAACGTCCATATTAACGTATGCATTTAATAAATAATAAATTAAAGTCCAATTTAACAATAATTTTCTTGAATTAAATTGCATAACTCAATTGTTTTAGTTAAATTAACGATATATCGAGTAGGAGCAGACTTATAGAAATTTTGATTGAAAATAACTCAAATCGAGTATAATTTGACATTATAAATTTAACAGTGAATAATAACGCAAGCAATAACAAATCTAAAATGTTAATTTTCTTACTGCTTACGTTTTGTTGCCTAAAGTTTTTTTTGTGTGCCACGAATCTTGAAGCTGAAAAATTTCCCAAAGTATTTACGATTCCCCTTGGGCGTCACTAAAGATTTTCCTCCAATTTTCTTTCCATATATTCGTGTTTCAATGTGTTCATTGTATTCGTTTCCCTATTTATTCTACCCCGTCACACTTTTCGTTATTCCATTATTCCCTCATAAAGAAATACGGTTCTTTCTTCCAAGAAAGGAAGACCCAAAAGAAGGCTGATTGAAAACCGTAAAATAAACCGTCTCCAAAAATAAAAGAATATTATACCCTTCGTAGAACAATAACCAAGAGTGAAGTTCTAAAATGCGGCTCCGAAAACCGAAAGTCGTTTGGCAGCCGAAAGTCGAAAAGTCGACGGGACATATCTTACACCGCCTTTTTTTTTTAACCAGACTATGAAAAAACTCACCGTAAACACGAGGATAATCCGTGCGTTGCCGAATAAATGTTTGAGCTTCCCGTTTGTGTCTCCCTTCAATCGCGGTACACTCCGCGGCACATGTCACAAGAAAAAAAAACCTCACGACGCGCGCGACGTCGTTTAAACCTACGCCAGAGCGAAGAACGGAGGACGTTCCAATTTTACCTTTTCACTTTCGTCCTTTCGCCTCCCGTTCTTTCCCGTTCTTTCTCTTTCTCTCTCTTCCTCTCTCTCCCTTGACCCTCGGCACTGACGAGATTCTCTCTTTCTCTCGGATTCTCGCGCGCACTTTTCAACCGTCGTTGTCGTTAGGTTAGGTCGCCGGTTCGTCGCGCAGGCAGGCAGGCAGGCAGGCAGGCAGGCAGGCAGGCAGACAGGCAAGGCAGGCCAAAAAATCCGAGAGGGATCTCGTTTCTCTCCTTCTTCCACTCTCACTCTTCTGCACTCTCGATCGAATATATATCGGTCCTTCTCCCTTTCACTCACAAATCCTGTCCCTTTTCGAAGGATATCCGACAGGCAGGTATATACGTTCCTTTCTTTCTTCCTCTCTCTCTCTCCTTACTCCAGAATCGTCGCACTGCGATATCGTCGGGATAGAAAAGTATAAAAAAAGCAAAAAAAACAACGCACAATGCACAAGTCGAGTTCGCGACGACGCGTCTGTCTTTCGGAGCACCGGTGTTACTTGGCTCGCGCTGCTCTCGAAGAATTTCTCCTCCCTCTGTCTCTCTCTCTCTCTCTCTCTGCCTCTCTTTCTCGATTTCCAGAAGACTTTCGATCGAACGAGCGTTTACACCGGCCCCTAAAATGTCAACAATGTCGGGAGTAACGCGCACGACCGCCGTATATGTACAATACAACGCTCGGTTTTGTTACCCCGCACCGTTCTCTCCCTCTTTCACGCGCGCGCAGATCCTGCCGCCGTCCTTTGTTCCTCACGTCTCGGCCGCTGCTACGTGACTGACCGCTTCGTGCGCGGCCGACGCATACGAGCCGCGCCGAAGACACCCGAGGTAGGATCCCGACGGTTCGTCGATCGGAAACGACCCTCGACGCGGAGAGCCGAGGGAGAAGAACCTTCCTTTGTTCAGGCAAGACCGAGCGGCACGACGACGATGACTGCGACGACCAAGACGACTCGTAACATAGTCTCCGCTCTCTCTCTTTCTTTCTTTCTCTCTCTCTCTCTCTCCCTCTCTTCTCCTCTCCCGATGCGCTTTTCTCTCGTATTATTTTGATCCTTCTCTTTCGCTCCCTTTTGCGCGTATGCACATGCCACACTCGCGCACTCCTCTCTTTCTCTCTGTCTCACTCTCTCTTTCTCTCACTCTTTCTTTCACTCTCGCGTTCTCTCTCGCGCTCCCCCTCTTACTTCACGTCGGCGATGCGTGTTGTGACCTGAGACGAGTCTCTAGCGGTTGAGTCCGAGTGGACCGGCGGCGTCGAGACGCTGTGGTAAATGGTAGAGAGGGGAGGCTTTGGAACAACCACCACCACCACTACCATCGCCGACGCCGACGCCGACGCTGACGCCGCTGCCGCCACCGCCATCGCCGGTGGTGTGCCTCCCCTTTCCCTTCCACCGTTCCGGCTTGCCCTCCCGGCTGGCGCGCAACACCCTCGCGGCATCAACCCGGCGCGACGCGGCGCCCGTTGGCGTCATAACGGGTGGCCAGATAGAAAGAAGTCACTGATGCTCCGCACCGATCGATCGCCGCACAAACGGCGGACTCCCCGACGCTTTCGGGACGATAACCTTGATCTTGATCCGTAAATTTTGGTGCTATCGCCGTACTGTACGTCATCGGATTAATGTTAGAGAGAGAGAGAGAGAAAGAGAGAGAGAGAGAGAGAGAGAGAGAGAGAGATGTGCGTTAGATAAGTTGGAAGATTTGCAACGAAAACACGTCTCTTTCTTTTATATGTGAGAACAGGATTTTCTTAGGTGCACGCATACAGTGACCATCATCATTTTCCTAGACCCGGCTTTTCATCAACCAGTTTAGACTTAATCTTACATATGAAAAATCACGTTTTTCTAGTTACCAACCAATCACTAAACTGATAGTTTTGTCACAATAATTTTAAAACTCGGTTTTTCTTCATCTGATTAACTTGTGATTGAGCTTAATGATATTTCACCCAATAAATGTCATCCAGGACATCATCATAGATGAATCATAGATGTTAAATCTAACAAGTTAACAAGAAAAATGAAAAACTCAGCCAAAGAGAAAAAGAATAATAAATCTGAAATTTTAGAACTTTCATTCCTAAACATTACCAAACTAGTTTGCGACTATCAGAAGTCTGTGCATTAATTTCTGAAATTTTGTTTGCACAATATAGCTGAGATAATTTCCAAGTAAGCACAAATCATCAGAACATTAAAATGATGATTATTAAAAGTCACTTCTTAATTAATCACAACTCATTTTGATGATATTCTAATATTATTGTGTATTTATTATTTTGCTTGAGCTAATATTGCCTTTGCATAAAACTAAATTTATTGATTGTTTCTCTAAAATTTGCTTATTAATACATTATAATGCTAACTGAAGTAGAATTTCCCGTAATATTATTAAAATAAGAGACAAAATTGAGTTTTGAGAAAAAAAATAAATAAATCTAAAGAACAGCTGTCTGAAATAAAAGACTATTCTTTCTTTACAATAAAAAATGTATGGCCACTGTAGTAAAATTTTTTTTTTCTGTAAAAGAAAACGATTTTCGATATTGCGTTGCGATAAACTGATAGAGTCGACATTATTGCTCTTTATCGATGAATATATGTTGCAAGCACATTTTGCGCGACGCCTCGCGATAAATAATGCAAAGCCGAAAGCGGCAGCTGTGGGACAATCGGACGTAAAACCGTAACCAATTACAGACGAACACAGGTTTCATACCATAACCTATGATACACTGTAGTTTACGACGAATCAATAAAACATCCATCTATTATAATGGTAAAACATGACGCCTCTTATCATATATTTCCTAGAAGCTATTTTAGTTCGCCGCATTCGACACAGTCAAATTCGTATGATGTATTATTTTCCGAAATAGAACTTTCCTAAATATTATTATTGCTCTCTTTCACAAAATGTATAAAGCGTACTTCAAAAGCTGCAATTGTTCAGAAGAAAATACAAGAATATAAAAATTAAACGTAAAGTGTATAGTAAATGAGACGTATTTAGTAGGATGCAAAATGAGTATTCTTATTTAGAAAAGATATACATAAATTCATAAGATAAAATAATATATTCATAAAATAAAATAATGTATTCATAAAATAAATTCATATACCAAATAAATTCATAAAGTTGAATTTATTATATTTCCTAAATAAGAATAGACTCATTTTGCGCTTTACTAACTGCGCTTGACTCTCATTTGCCCTAAATAAATGTACATTTTGCCCTTAACTCTCCATTGAACATTTTCATCCTTGCAATTGCAATCTGAGTCTTTGAATTTTAATGCAGATTTTTATATTGTTCTGTACTGCATAAAAATGTAAAAAAAATTCTTACATACTTGTGAAAGCTTCAGACGAGTTTTCACTACTACAGAAGTTGGATTGTACTTTATTCATTTTTTACAGATTTAAATTTATCTTTATCAGAAATCCATAATAAAAAGATAAAAAAAATTGTACCTTTAAAGTCTAATATATATTATTGGTGTAAAAACACAACTTTTTTATTTTGTTGTTGTGAGTTCTGATAGATAAATTTAAAAATTAATTTTTAATTTTAAAATTAATATCTAAATTAATATTTTCTTAAATTAATATAGCATATTGTGCAAAAATATACTTTATTCCAAAGTACTATTTATCTTGTTAATTATTCGGAGATCAAATTAATTGACTTTTGCGCGAGGGATATCTCGCATAGCATTTCAATTTTCTCAACTTGACACGCACAAAATAGACAAACTTTATTCAATTATTCTAAATAGTATTATTCATTCTCTCTTTCGTTGGAGTTCATATCAAGAAAAGATTAAATAACGTATTAGAGTTAAATTAACTGTATTAAAAAAATATTCTACAATGTGAGTAATTGGAAATGTGAATCATTTATCTATAATACATGTGTGCATGTTGAAAAAAGAAACAATAAGCGTGAAAATCTTAGGGATGTGGACGCCAGGTGAGGATATAAGAGATAATGAGGAAAAGTATGCCGGTCGTTGCGAGGGAGAGAATGTTTTACATTCGTGAGAAAATTTTCTACACGCAGTGGTTTTCCCCGTTTGTGTGGAGATCGCGGTTTTGCTTTTCTTTCATTGGGCGTTCATATAACGATTGTATGCTTTCTTATTCTATATGTCCATATACCGCGTCGTAATTCAACCATAATGTGTAACTCGAATCTACATTCTCTACATATCATTTGTTAATCGTATAAAATTATCGTGCACAGTAAAAACGGTTTTGTATCTGTGTTTAAATCAGTCCACTCAACTCCTCGTTGAATTTTTAACATATCCGAATGTTAATTTAACATAATGTAATTAAAAAAATGTTGTTTAAATATTTCATGTTAAATTGATATTCAATATTTTTTTACTGCTAAAATAACACAATTTTGAACAAATAACATAAAAATAATGCATTTTAAAACGTAAATTATAAAATAAGTGAATAAAATACATGTTAATTCAATTAAAAATGTTAATGTAATTAAAAAAATATGTTTCTACAATGTCAGTGTTGCGCTTTCATGTTAATTTTTTTACATAATATTTGAATTACTTTTAATACATCGTGTATTAAATTAACAATCTTAAAAATCTGAGTGAACTATTTTGAAATACGTGAAGTTTAACATATATTTTCCAACTATGTAGCTCGTATTATATTAGCGAAAAACGTGATATAATAAAAACATTACATAATCGAAAGTGATGAACAGTAGAGTAGGTACGATTGCAAAACCAGAAAGCGCTTGAAAATATCGCGGAATCGCCTTGTACATGCGTGTCGAGCATAAATTAATGAAAACATTTTGCACCAGTTCGTTATATAAAGATTACCATGTAGAAAGAGAGCTTTTGCTAGAAATCAAAGTAAACATTTGCAACAGACGTAACGTAGTAATGCGCGGTGAAATTTATCTTGCGTAAACGTATTCACCTGTGCTCACAGGAATTCATCCTAAATACATCACGATACACAAAATTTATTTCGTCACGCAACAAATTTTTATTAAAAACGAATAAGTTCTTCGTGCAGATCAATTTTTCAAAAGATTCTCATGTGCTCATGAGTTTCAGCATTATTTCATAAAATATAAGAAAATACTATCAAGACAAGTAGATTATTTCATGGAATATTTCACGAAGCTGACACTCATGAGAAAACAGCTTCGAGGTAGCTGGGAAGGAGACAAACAGTCTAAGTTTCTTTTTCATGGGTTTAAGGGGTCGGTTATATTGCACGGCAGTTGTGGGGAGTGACGTTTGAAATGAGGCGAATCAATTACCGGGGATGGAAAAAAAATCCGCATAGCACAGTTGCAAATGAATAAACGGCAAAAATATCCGGTAATGGCGGGATGACGAAAGGGCGATGACAAATGAAAGCTAACACCTTCTTTATTCGCGATGAACATAAAATTAAAGACTCTGACAGTATTTGCGCAAAAAGCGAAAAGAATCTCCATCGTGTCATTGTATTATTCTGATAAAACGCGTATATGTTTACATTTACACAAATTGTTTTTTCGTTAATGAAGAATAACTTGACAATTATTAACTGTTCGTTATTTTAACGACAATTTTTGACAATTTTTGTACTTTAAATCTTAAGCTGTCGGAAAAACAGGAATTTCGAACGTCTGAAGAAGCGACTTTGCTTTCTAAAATTTTGTATGTTTTTAAAAAGTCTAAATTCACAGGTAGATGAGCTAACATTAAGTTTCGTCGCGTTCAACTTTCCAATCACCACCAGTTAGAAATCACCAAGATAGAAACATTGCAACCATTAGACACTTTTACGAGTATTGGCGGCTTTTTCTGCTTATTTAACTGCGAGCATTGCACGCATATAATTACGGGTGTCGTAGAGATGACATTAACGTTTCACGATAATACGATAATAAGTATTTATTTAAGATTAAATATTTTTCAAAATATAATAATAATAATTTATTTGTATAAACATATATCTTTATATCATATCGTAATAATAATACCTACGTACCCTTTCAAGTTCGAAATAAGTACGTCATATAACGACAGTACGTCGTTGTAATTTTAAAAAATTGTATAGGTATGCAAAATCGTTTTGAAATATGTATAGTGATGCATGTTTTCCGCATTTTCCAATTACACGTCGCATTTCCATCGCGCTATAAATCTACATT